TTGCCGTTGTCAAATCTCAGTTAGATCTGAAATACCTTTTAAAATATTTTGAATATTGTCATATCTTTAATTGGTATTATGAGTAGTCAGAACAAAAAGCAAGGTATAAACAAATAATGACTAGTCAAAATTGACTTAAATATGACCTGTATTTTTGACTAGTCAAAATTCCCTGAGTTGGAGCCTCCATACAACTCAGTGTGAACTCTGACATCATTTATACTAGTTATAATGTAATTATCAATGTCTCAGTTAGGTATTTTGCAAAGTCAAAAGGTAATTAGAGATATCATATTCAACTTATATGACTAGTCATAAATCAGTTTCAAAAATCTGGGATGTAAGCATTGTGAATCTGATTTTACGTTAAAATGGCCTGCCAACGTGTACACACAGAATTCTCCATGCTCACTTTCACGTGCTGAACACTTGAGCTAAATACCAACTCTCCTGTGTTTGTTTGTCTCACAAATTGTATTTATTTACTGGTCAGAGGCATGCAGATATTACCTGTAGAATCATATTCATTGGTCTATTTGTCTGTGTGAACTCTTTATGATTCCAGCCGCAGTGCTGCAATGATGACGTGTGTCTAATTTCATCATCAGCATCATTACTGCTATTATCCCGTGTCTCCCTTTAATGCAGGCTAATGGATGACCAATAAAGATAGATGAGCCTGGCAGTGTGGAGCTAATAGACAGGACATGATGTCTGGCTTCTGTCCTGATTCCAGCCTGCAGCTGATCAGCATCTTCATGCAGATAAAGCAGCTAAAATTTGATCTGCAGTTATTTCTCATTATTTAAGAAATAGCTTTATTATCAGCTAATTGGCATGCCAATAGTTTAGGAGAGAGGGAAAAGGTGCCTTTTTGCATGCTTCATTATTTTTGTGTGTTGATTGTGCTTCATTATTAATTAAATAGCTGTGAATTTACTTTTACAATGAAGAAAAATAAACACAACAAAGGGCACACTGCATTTAAACTGTTTTTTTTTTCCCTTTTTTGTGTCTTTTGGCCATCAAATGATTATTTTATGTCTTCTGAAATTGCTGCAGTCCCCTCTGCAATTAAATGATTAAAGTACTAATTGTTTAAGTGTGCATGTGTACATAAACATAAGCATATTCACTGATGCTGTGGTATTTGTGATTAATAGTGATTAGCACTGTTTCCTCTCAGCAAGAAGGTTTGAATCCCAGCTGTGCAGATCTTTCTTTCTGCAGTGTGCTTTTTTTCTCCAGATACGTGGGTGTTTTCCTGTCTTTAAAGGAGTTTTGCTAATTGATTTTAAATGTCATATAGTAGTGTGTTCATGATGTATTTGTTTTTGTGTCTTGCTGTATTGACCACAGAACGGACTTGAGCTCCAACTTCTAATAAAGTGACAAAGTGCTGTAAATCCAACTGATAAGTTGGATAATTGTGAGGATATTTTTTATTCAGCATCAGTCAGTGATGTTACATATAACACGACACACTAAGTCAATGCACTCCCTGTGATTCAGCAGAGAAGCTTTGTTCTTCATTTCAACACCAGCAGATTATAATAAAACTTAACCAAAATACTTTCCTAACGTTAAAAGAAATATGTTGCCGACTCAAAAAATAGTTAAATCTTGATGTTTTTTTTCCTCCTGAGAATCTTATTTTTTAAAGTCGTTCAATACGAGATTTTAGTTTTAGTGAAAAAATATGAAAAATTTTACGCAAGGAACCCCAATAAAGTCATACATAAAGAAAGAGTCTAATAAGAATATGTTCTGGTCTGCAATAAGCCTTGAAAATCTAAATAAAAAAGAGTTACAATTTTTAGCAAAATTTTATTTGTGAACTTGATGAATCACTTTTGGCTGCTCTAATTTCTATTGAAAAACCTAGGAACAAAGACACTGTCAAGGAAAAACAGTCTTTTGAATTTGTCATATAAGATGTGGACAAAGTTCTGACATTTAAACTAAGCACCAAAAGTAAAAATAAAAAAGTAGTGTTTGGTAGAACAGGGAGATGACTTTTGACAAGTTGTTAAATGCTTTA